AAATACATACACAATTAAAAAAAAAAAGGTTTTTGAACACTTTCAACATTGTTAAACTTATCAATAATTTAAAGTTATCATTCATTATCCGTCTCAATCATTGCATTAGAAAATTAATATCCTTTCTAAGTTTCAAGACATAAATTCTCATCTGCCAAGTCTTAGAGCACTAAAGGCAAAGCAATGTCACGTTGAACTATCGCGATGAACCAGTTCTAAAGTCCGTTTTCCATCGCTAGTAACAGTTATTTATCGTATTTATGAACAAAGCATTAAAGAAGACTTATAGACACGACTATTTCATTACATGATGGTTGTTTATACAACATCACGAGTAATAACAGGCCCTCAGATCACCGGCACGTTGCCGCCGTGTCGCAGGCATTCCTTGCTATTTAAGGCGGCATAATGCAAATCGCACTACATCTAACACCAAAAGCATTTAGGTCGCAACAGTGACGTCACCGTCGCGTAGTGAAAGCCAACGAGACACGAACAATACGTGTCTCTTGCGCAAGTCGAGCGATCGCAGGAGAACACAATGGTGGGTTAATAGAGCCATTCGACGGTTCATTGCTTATTCATCCACGCCCCAGACGCCTCCACAGGCAACGCGACCGTCGCGATTGATGTCCTTGTGCAACGAGTGTAGTTCTACGGTGTCCCTGATTTCATTATTACACTTCGAACCAACGCTTGATTCTTATTTCAAACCTAATCCCCTTTTCTGTTGGCGTACATAGGCAGACAAACTTTAAGCTATTCACAACTGTTTATCAAAGCCCACAGATTTTATTCGTATGCCTTATGCTGTAAATAGCTGCCTTATATTACGCTGCTACTGAAAAAAACATTACAAGTCATCCGTGACCAAGAAAATTGTAAAGTAACGTGGGAAATAATATGTTGACAATAAAAAACGCGTTATCAATACTTTACAAATTTGACGTCGCTGCCAACCCTTAAGACATTAGGTTAAAATCAACATTAGGACAGCTATCCCGCCGTTTAGAAAGGAAAATGTTACTATTTCACGCCATAAATACGCAATATAGATTCCAAGCTCCGCTCACAAAATAATCCACAAACGGTTTTATTTATATTTAAAATAAATAGGCTTTGCCGAATGTGGAGCAAATAATTCCTTCATACAAAAAATAAATGGTATTGTATGATACCGAGATTGTACATTACGATTAATCACTCTTCACATAATGTCAACCGGACTAGTTCCAGCGTTAAGATATACATCAAGCGTTTAGATAGGGTTTCCTGTAAAAGTTTACGTCATTGAGTAACATCTTCTTGCATAAAGTAAGCTAATAGTCTTGAAAGAAAGAAATAGTTTTATTTTCTAATTTAAAAAATGCATATTTAACAACATTTGAGAGAATCTAAAGCCCTCAAGAGGTTATTTCTTCTACAGAACAAACACGCATTTCGAATCGAAGCGTGGGACAGTCAATAAAAGCATTCACTTCTTGACGTCAATGAGTTCGGGTAGCAACTTAACACTGTGAGATCGTTTGCACACGAGCAAGAATAGAACTTGTCATCCGATATGATTACGACTTTTTTTAAATGTACTCGAGTGAAAGAGTTCGCGGCTCATCTGGTGTTAAGTGGTTATTGGAGCTCAGATATATACATATATACATACATGACACGTAAATGCCGCCACCCACGTTGAACCATGAGGTCTAAGTCACAGCTGTTTAATATAGCGGCTGTCCCAGTCTTCAAACTAGAACGCATTACTCCTTCCTGGCCGAAGTAGATTGGGTGGTGATACATACCCGTGAAAGTTCATCTCCTAGTGGGAAACGATAATCAACAAAAATCAAAGCGTTTGGGTTTCACTAACGGTATAATACCAGGTGAGACGTGAGCTCATCTATCCATCTACGTTAAGAATCTGAGTAAAATACAAAAATTCTGTTGACAATCGAAATTTAAAAATATGCAGGAAAACCAAATTCAAAAACTACAGATTCCCCGGACGATGTTTCCGTGAAATGTGAAACAAGGGTAAACGTTGTGAATTTCTCTCGAGAGTTGGCAGTATTAGGTACCGAGGCAGAAGATTGCGATCGCAGCTGTGAGCTTTGCGCATCCCGGCACGACTAGACGCTATCCAAAAGGGAACGTCGAGATATTTTATTCATAGGAACCGGTGATAAATGAGGAAAGCCGCGGCTGTATAACATTCATTATTGCCTTTAGCTGGCCACGCATGGCGTTATCAAAAACTTGTTGCTGTTCGGTCGGGCCCAAGCCAGACCGGACCACGGACACACCGGGGACTTGTTTCAAAGGCCATTTATCGTAAGCAGCAATGCAAACATTTATAATTCATCGTTGCCATGACTCTGTTGTTTGATCTCGTGATTTCTCGCACCAAGAAATCAAAGCGCACGGAATAATTCACGTTTTTTTTATTGCTTAGATGGGTGGACGAGCTCACAGCCCACCTGGTGTTAAGTGGTTACTGGAGCCCATAGACATCTACGACGTAAATGCGCCACCCACCTTGAGATATAAGTTCTAAGGTCTCAAGTATAGTTACAACGGCTGCCCCACCCTTCAAGCCGAAACGCATTTCTGCTTCACGGCAGAAATAGGCAGGATGGTGGTACCTACCCGCGCGGACTCACAAGAGGTCCTACCACCAGTAAAAATTCACGTAATTTTTTTTTTTTTTTCTTGAACAATCTAAAGTATAAACTTCAGCTGTTGCGAGCGAAGAATACTGGAGCTTCTAACAAAGTATGATATCTCGGTAAATACAATAATAATTCCTTTACAAGTCACGATAGCAGCACGTTTTCATAGAACGTTTAACAATCGTTCAATTTGTAAGGGCCAGAGCTCGGGGGCTCTACAATGGCGCTGCACGCGACCGCTACAGCCCGACATTCTCATGAGGAATAACGCACAACAATCAAGATGTCATTTTTCAACTACCCACGCCGCGAACACCGGTATGGGCGAACAGTGAGAAATACGGCCGACAACACACGCATATCCCGACGTACAAAAGAAGCGTCTCGAGGTTGTCGCGATACATATCTTTTTACTCAACAACGAACACAACAGTCTCGCTTGCAGTTTTTATATTAAACATAAAATCGGCCAACATTTCAAAGCTAAATCAATATTTGTTTGTTTAAATTTTTAAAACACCAGGGCTGCCAACACTCAATCTGAGATTTATAATACTAGATTAGAGGTATTTTTAAAGTACACCTATGTGTGTGCAAGGAAACATGATGCTAAGCCCGCATTATGTGCAACGGTCATTATGGTAATTCACCGAAGTCGGGGGCTAATGGAACGACGATTGAGAATGAAAACTTGCAGACAAAAATAATAGTAATTATTGACACGAACCAGCTTAGGGCTAAAATCCGCTATACAGAGCAAATGATCGCAACCGGCCACTAATTCGAAAATTTCACATTTATAGCGAAGCCTGCCCTCAAGCGTGAATGGAAACTCAAACAAATTTACTAGTCACATATCGCGTATAGTTCTTCGTTTTTATAACGAAACCAATAGTCTGGTTATTTTTTATTAATATTGTTTTACCGTTAATAAGCGAAATTTCGACTCATAAGGTCTCTATCGTTCGTTAACTTCAGTAATACCAGTAGCGTAGTAAGAGGCAAATCGTTGCCTATCACTCATCAAGCCTCCACACAAAGAAAACACCAAATCTTGAAACGTACTGAGTTCAAATCTACCATAATCATTTCGTTGGGAACACGAATTTTATGATAATGATATGTAATATTGTAGAATAGATAACATTTTTAAACGTCTAGTAGGTAACTGGAAAACAAATAACAGATCTAAGCATGCCTTTTAGGGACGTTACTACTGCGCGGTGGTATCTTTTGTATTTCATACAATGGCGCATCGATCGTGCCGGATTACGCGGAAACGCTCGACTTACACTAACGAGTTGTATTTGCAACTAATTGAAGTTATAGCTAACTTCCCCTAGATCTTAGCTATCCCAATATTGTCTAGTTCAGGTAAACTAACATACGCAATTCAAAAGCTGCATAACGTCATCATTTAGTTTTACAATGTTGTGTGTATCGAAACAATTACCATAAAAAAAATTAACAGATGATTTTGGAATAGCTTTCGTTATAACATATATTATATATTAACTTTAGTCATATACTATCAGTATTAGAAGGCATTTTCTACAAAACTTATGGGCATCTCGTAAATCTTAAGACTAATTTGGTAGAATATTCCAACAAAGTGTAAAATAACAATGTAGTAATTAACTAGCCTTTAATAATTATTTTCTTGATAATTAGCAATATATTACAAAAACGGGAATTTTATAGCAAATTCACGTTTAAATGCTCGTTAAAAATAATGCCTCCTAGTTTACATTTATAGTATAATATAATATATTAGATTATTGTTATTATTATATTCTGCAGACAATGTAATTTTAGAACGCTAGTTCGGGACTTGCGGAAATAATTGCACAGAATTTAGATAAACATATTCGTCAAATAGAATGAGACGATCAAATAAATTTAATTTAAATATCTCGGATTGTAATTGTACAAAGACATTTCACTATCGACGAGTATCAGAAATCGCCAATCTTGTTCATCTGCCGCTTTCCGCATAGGAATTGGACTTTAATGTTTTGACTTACCAGTGATATGTTGATTCCTGAGATTCAAATATATCAGATAGGCGCCGTTCGTATGCACACAAAACAATAGAGGTATCTGTTTAGTGTTGTATACGAGCATCGCTTACAGAGCACTTACGCTTAACATCAGGTGGGCCGTGAGCTCGTCCACCCAAGTAAGCAATAAAAAAAATAATTAAAAAAATAACTCCATAATATATCGCAATTGATTTAATAAAATTAGTATCGTTTACTAACGATTTTTTTAATAAAGTTTTGTAAGTTTTGTCTAGCACCATTAATTAATGTTGGCTTAACGTATAAAATGCCCGATTTACTCATATCGATTCACACCTGTAACCGGGTCCAATTTTTGCTTATTACTTACCTTTTTACGAACTGTTACTGACACTGTTTCTACACGTTTGTAGCCTGCAATAAGAAACATCGCCCTACCTAATTCTGCCACAAAACAAATCTTTCCCTTTGAGAAGCAAGATAGCTATAATGAAAGAACATTTGATACATCGATCCCTCGTTTCGACAGAAGCGCCTTCTACGCTCTATGACCTTTTTTAGGGCATTTTAATTCCTTCGATAGCCCCTTAAAAGCCCCCTTCCCCCTTGTCTATTGATCTATGGCAATAAAAAAAAAGCATAGACAAGTCGATCTTACCTGTTAAATGATTTCCGGTGAACTCGAAATCGTCGTCCTGGTCCCAGTGCTTCAGCGATAAGTTCCCGAGAGGCGTTGCGTTCGCAAATTCCAAATTCGCAAAGTGCCAATCCAATATCTGACGATCCCGGACCGACAGATACACGGAACTGAAAATAACAAATAAATTAATAATCTATCGACTAAACATTTCGCTTGGGTAATGCTTTTGCGATATTGTGTTCACTAAGTATACATAGATTTTACGTAAACCCTATCGAGTGTGGATTTATCATCTACCATCGCTTAGCAAACGTTCCTATAGGACCAATAGATGAATTATTAGATCTATTAGAGACAGAAAGTGACAAAAGCATTTTTTATCTCGCGAAATTTAAACGAATTTAGTTATTTGTCAATAACAAATAACGTTAGGGAAAACGATGAGCATGACATTCATTTTTTTTAGGGATTTTATGACCTGGTAACTAAGACCTTTAAGTCATGTCTTATTTTAATTTATATTCTTATTTTTATGAAAAATGATAATATGGGGTGAAATGAAATGAAATGAAGATGATTAATTTGAGACATTAATCAACTGGGATGAAATTAAATGAAATGAGATGATATGGGGTGAAATATAATCTGAGTAAAATAGTGGTCATTTACTGAGATTTTTTCAATTGACTTTTTGGAGGATCCCGAGAAGTTACGTCCAGCGGCTTTGTTTCACTTTCCCATTTTCACATCCACATTTGTGCACTTTCACAGATATTAAAGTTAATAAACAACCGTTAATACACATTTGAACCTAAATAAACACTAAATAGACAAAATAAAACAAATCACGCAGCTTCACTCCTCGCGTTCCCGCCAAAATAATTTGTCATTCGTTAAACAGTAACAGGCACAGAGTAGCTCGCGGTTCACCACGACGTGTTATTTACGTCGTAACAGCTACCCAAGCCTTGAAGCCGAGTCGACTCCTTCATGGCAGAATTCAGTAGAAGTAAGAAAACATAATTGAGGTATGAAGTTGGCGCCTCAAGGTCGCCTGCGGCATTCAAACTATGGTTAATTATGATAATTAAATCATTATGTACAAAACCAGTGGGCAGGGGTTTGGGTGAGCCCTAGGCGATACTGTTCTACTGGTGGTATCATATTATACCGTATGTTTATTTTTATTGCTTTGATGGGTAGCCGAGCTCACAGTCCACCTGATGTTAAGTGGTTACTGGAGCCCATAGACATATGCGACATAAATGCCGCCACCAAACTTGAGATATGAGTTCTAAGGTCTCAGTATAGTTACAACGGCTGCCCCACCCTCAAACCGAAACGCATTAGTGCTTCACGGCAGAAATAGGTAGGGTGGTGGTACCTACCCGTGCGGACTCACAAGAGGTCCTACCACCAGTAAAAAATGCAGTATGTTCATCTGCCTAAAGATATATAATACCTCGGCGGATTAGCTTCCAGATGTGTCAGTTTCTCTTCAATAGTCGAGTTCTGAGTGACCAAATTCTCGTATTCGTTACAAAGATGTTTCATTTCCCTATTGAGTCGCCGCAAATTGAACTCTTGCTGTATATTAGCATCCCCGGTATTACCGGTCGCTTTCTCGGCGAGCAAAGCCTCCTTCTCCGATTTCAGGGACTTGAGGAGATCCTGCAGGTCGGTCATTCTGGAAACAAGCAGAAGATTACTAAACGTTAGAAAGTACAGATTTGTCATAACAACTCGGAGTCATTTGTTGAAACAACTATTAAAAGTTAAGCTTTTAACTTAACGTTAACAAACTCACATTAAAATTTGATATTTTAGAAAACTAGCCGTCATACTGTTCTTTTGTACTATCATCGAAAGAATCCATCGAAATCCTAGTACGACATACCTGTTGGCATTTACCGTGATTCTTCAAGATCAGCAAAGCTTTATAGTATCGGTGGTAGGGACTGATGATATTTACTATTGCTTACATGAGCGGACGAGCTCACGGCCCACCTGGTGTTAAGTGGTTACCGTAGCCCATAGACATCAACAACGTAATGCCGCAACCCACCTTGAGACATGAGTTTAAGTCTCAGTGTTATACTTAGTCTGGCCATAAATACTCTTACAATTAAAAATAAACAAAATATTACATTTGAATTTGGAATCTGTCATCTTTATATAATTGCTCATTGAGTTTTCTCATTTTGGCGCCAATACATTGTACAATATTTTGCGATATTAAAATGGAGTGGGGTGATAAAGAGAACCGAATCGCTGTGATTGCATTACAAAAAGTAGGTATGGAGCCAAATCCAATTTTTAAAACTCTCCATACGCTTGGTATTAGTAAAATGTTTGTGTACCGGGCTATTAATAGGTGCAATGAGACCTCCTCTGTTTGTGACAGAAAAAAAATCTGGCCGTCCACGTAGTGTTCGTACGAAAAAGGTGGTCAAAGCAGTAAGGGAAAGAATTCGAAGAAATCCTGTCCGAAAGCAAAAGATTTTATCTCGGGAGATGAAGATAGCAACTAGAACCATGTCGCGTATTTTAAAAGATGACTTAGGACTTTCAGCCTATAAGAGACGTACTGGTAATTTCTTAACTGATAATTTAAAAGAGAATAGGGTGGTAAAATCGAAACAACTACTGAAGCGGTACAGAAAGGGAGGTCATAGAAAAAAAATGTTTACGGATGAGAAAATTTTTACAATTGAGCAACATTTTAACAAACAAAATGACCGTATTTATGCTCAAAGCTCTAAGGAAGCTTCCCGATTAGTCGACAGAGTGCAACGTGGGCACTATCCGACTTCAGTGATGGTTTGGTGGGGTATTAACTATGAAGGAGTGACAGAGCCATACTTTTGTGAAAAAGGTATCAAAACATCGGCACAAGTGTATCAAGATACCATTCTTGACAAGGTGGTGAAGCCCCTTAACAACACCATGTTCAATAATCAAGAATGGTCCTTCCAGCAAGACTCGGCGCCAGATCATAAAGCTCGGTCTACGCAGTCTTGGTTGGAAACAAACGTTTCGGACTTCATCAGAGCTGAAGACTGGCCGTCGTCTAGTCCCGATCTTAATCCGCTGAATTCTGATTTATGGTCATTTTTAGAGAGTACGGTTTGCTCTAAACGCCATGATAATTTGGAGTCCTTAAAACAATCCGTACGATTGGCAGTGAAAATGTTTCCCATGGAAAGAGTGCGTGCTTCTATTGATAACTGGCCTCAACGTTTAAAGGACTGTATTGCAGCCAATGGAGACCACTTCGAATAAGCTTTTTATACTTTAAATTGTTTTATATTTATGTATTAAACTAACACACTGTAAAAGTAAAAAATGTTATTTGCAATAGAATATTTTTTTTCCTTTGTCTCAGTATTTATGGCAAGACTAGGTAGTATTTTATTTTTTCCTACCAATTCACTAGCCTTATGTATTATTGGTTACTCCAGCTACACGCACACGGTTAGCTAAGCTCACGGGCTCAACCTGATAGAATTTGCTAACACCAGCCCTAGCAAGAGCAGTGCTTCCAAGAATCTACTACCGGATAGGAATCGCGACCCACTGAGAAGATCCAGCGAGAAACTTAGGGGGCTGTGTCTATAGGTTAGTTTGCTCGTCGAACTCTTCGTCGTAATCGATATCGTAAATGTCACTGCTTCAAACATCGGCACAGTCGTATTACTCGATACAAACGAGTGTGTTTAACTTTTAAGCCAATAACATAGAGTTGCCAACTATACTGTTAAAAACAGTATTATATCGTTTTACACTCTATTATACTTTTTACTGTTTTCAGCATCAAAATACTTAACACTTAATGTGTTAGACTTAGACGCTCACACATTTTTATTTATTTAGTCAGTGGGTGCAGCGCAGCCACAAGGCGTATGAAACTTTTCAAAACGAGAGTAAATTAATAAATTGTGCGAGAAGCTTTCAAAAATATGTATTTAAAACATTTAATAAATAAAATACTGTTCATTTTTCTAAAAAATACTGTTTAATTTTCTTCTCAGACCTAAATATACTTTATTTCTTATAAAAAAATATGACAACTCTAACTTCACATCCAAAATCCACACAGGTTGCTACCACAGTGATTCCTGATTTTCCACGAAGCAATAATGTCTTTCAGTTTAAAGACCAAGGATTGCAGTTATTTCACCTTCCACCTCTCTCGATTTGGCATTAATATTATTATATTTATATTGTTACACCGGTAACCGCGATCTCTGTCGCTCGACTTCAATGTTTTTAGAAGTAATATTTATCTTATACGAGCTGACCCAGCAGACTTCGTAGTGCCTCAATCGATAAATAAAAGACCTAAACTTTTGTATAAAATAAACCTAAAACAATCAAAAGGAATCCGTCCGACAGGGGACACCTCAAAGGAAAAACAAAAATATTATTTTTATTTAATTCCCAGCATTTTCATATTTATCTACCTTTTAAACCTTCTCTGGACTTCCACAAATAATTTAAGACCAAAATTAGCCAAATCAGTTCAGCCGTTCTCGAGTTTTAGCGAGACTAACGAACAGCAATTCATTTATATATATATATAGATTAGGTACTTACTTATTTATGTTTGATTTCATTTTCTCTTGCAACGTTGTGAGAGCTTTCAGATGCTGTATCTGTAAAACAAATACAAAATATTTTGTTCTTGAAATGAAAACTTCTGTGTCACAATTGTGATTTGCAACTCAATTCAATGAAAAAGAGACAAAAATCTACATTTACATAAATTAGCTTGTGATAGTACTTATGAATGTTTCACTTCTACCATGTATGTGAACTGCACAGGTTTTTTTTAGAATTATAACGAATGAATTTGTTAGGGAGATAATTTTTTAAAATTAAATCAGTGTTCTCTTCCCTTCTTATAGAGTAAATTTTTTTTAATAATTCGGTATATTTATTTTTTGTTACCAACCTGTTTATGTTTAACATTTTTTTGTTGCAGCTTGATGACCCACTCTAAAGCTTGACCCAGTGAGACAGGCGTGTCGTTATAATAATTGAAATCCACTTGGTGAGACAGATAAGATGTGGCATCTAGGAGACGATTGAATTCGCGTTCCACCTTATCATAAAAGAAACAATTATTATCAACCGCTACGATGATAGTTTCAGCTAAATAGGTTCTTCAAACCTAAACTATACTTGATTTTTTTTTTTTTTTACTTAGGCTATTATGTAGAAAAAATGCTAAAGTAATAATTCAGCACAATCGTTTAATTTTTTTAAAAACTTCATAACATTATGCAAAAATAATTATAACAATTATTTTACCATAAATTGTGGTTGTAAATTGCATTAAAATACACAAAAAGTTAGAAAACAAAAATATTTTTTACTCGTCGTAGGACCTCTTGTGAGTCCGCATGAGTAGGTAACACCACCCCGCCGATTTCTGCCGTGAAGTAGTAATGCGTTTCGGTTTGAAGGCCGTTGTGGCTGCCCCATCCTCAGTATAGCTACAAACCTATACTGAGATCTTAGAACTTATTTCTCAAGTTGGTGGCGGCATTTACGTTGTAGATGTCTATGGGCTCCAGTAACCACTTAATACCAGGTGGGCTATGAGCTCGTCCACACATCTAAGCTAATTATCTAATTAATAAAAAATAATAATATTACCAAATGAATACTTAGACTTCTACCTAATCTGATGGTTTTGATGAGAATTTCAAACCTGACGTTGTTGCTCAGACGAACCCTGGCAAGAGCATTGCTAAATCTACCACCGGATCGGAAACGCGACCCACTGAGAAGATCCGGCGAGAAACTCAGTGGGCTGTGTCTGTGGGTTAATTTACTCGCCGAGCCCTTCGTCGCAAGCGACGCGACGGGTTCAATGATAACGATGATCGAATATTTAGACGTAACATTACCATTCTAAATATTTTTGATAAATGGGATTTTTTTAAATATTTTTTGATAAATAGGAAATTTTTGTTAAGAATCATCGAATACAAAAGAAATCGTTTATTGACCCTGGATTATGATTTGATATAGGTTGTAAGTCTATGAATTATCAAGCTATCAAAATGATACATAGATTTTCTAATAAAGTTAGTAAATATTATTATGTTTTTCCTATATATACATCTACTACAAGATGACACTAAGAATATATTGTACAAAATTTATTTATTATTATATACAAACCATTTCATCCTTATGTTTAGGTACTTGGTTCCCATTAGCTTCATAAAGGGGACATTTTTGTTTAATTTTATGAAGCTCCATGTTCATTTGCACTGACAACGTTGTCACAGGGTTACCTCCTAGTCCAGTTACTACCATAGCACCTGAAAAATAATTTGATTAATTGCTATTAGAAAATAAGGTTTTTTCATTAGTATTATTTCCTTTATACACAAAGCACAAATCATAATGATTATTTATGCATAAAGATGTAAATATTGTAAATACAATAGAACATGACAATAATGTTGGAACAATTATTTAAGCATTAATAAAAAGCATTAATTTAGTAGTAGCAGTACGACTTAGGACAGTAATGTAATTTTTTTCCAGAACATACCTAGGTCAGCTACATAGGGTCCTTTCCGGTAGGTCACTATTCGGCCTCCAACTCTGTCTCTTCCTTCTAAAACCACGACTTCACAGCCAAAAGACTGAAGTTGGCGAGCAGCTGCCAAGCCGGACACTCCTGTGTGACAGATTTATTTTATCCAACAGAAATTGGTACTTTAAAATTAAGACTTAAAACTCATGTTACAAGGTGAGTGGCAGCATTTACATTGTTGATCATGAGCTTCCGTGACCACTTAATACCAGGTGGGCCACAAAATCGACCACACAACTAAGAAGTAAAAAAATACAGAATAGTGCTTCTGATTTTTTATTGAATTATATGAAAATGAAAATCGAACTCAAACAAATCGCTGACCGCAAGATACTGCAATTTTTTTGTGGGATAAAAATTTCAATTATAAGTTTTTTTGTTGTTGAGAAAATTAGGCAGAAATAAAATATATTATGCCCAACTTCTTTTATTTACACAATATTTGTAATCTTCACATTCATTTGCTTTCTTCTTTCTACAGGTCCATTACATTTTAATTACTGTTTTAGACACACCTGCTCCAATAATTATAATTTTTGGGCGTTGTTTTCCTTTTGGAGGGCTTGGGATTGGTGTTACACGCTCATATATTCCATAGTTGATAAAACCATGTCTCTCCAGAAAGGCATGAGTTCTCATTATTAATGCTGGATCTCCATTATAAGGAGGCTGGAAATTTAATTATTTAATAATTAATAAGAAAATTTGTTTTAAAATTTCAGAACATTTTTTTTTTGTATAAAAATCATGTCAAAGTTTTGCATAGTTTGGTCAGTAATAACAACTAGCATTCTCAATTTCGCAGTATACCAAATGAATATTTTTTTTTTACTTACCTCCATTTTTTTTACAGCCTGTTCCTGAGTCAACTGTTTCTTAGGGTCTGCAAACCACATTTTTAAAATTCGATTTCGAATTTGAATGAATGCGCAATTCGAAGGGCCTTGTAAATCAGAAAAGCATTCTGCTTCAAGTGATGACATCTTATCAAATGGTAATCGCGACTGAAATGCTGCTCCTTCAAGACTAAAAATCATAATATATATGTTTACAAAAAAATTGCTATAATATAGAAAACCATTGTGGGAATTCTACAGTACTAATCTGTTTAATCAAATTTAATAATATAATAGTTTAAAATGGTAATCATACTAAATGAGTGTTAGCATATTATCTGCACTTTTTTCTCTAATTTTGAATCCGAAAATCTATTTTCAGTTCACTAAATTGCTCTTACCTATTAAGCATTTCTTTATAGTTAATTTCTTCAACATCGTCACTCTTTGGATCCTCTGGAGAAGCTTTTTCTTCTTTTTTAGGCTCCTTGCTGTTGTCGGCTGTACGACTTGAGGACGACCCTCTGCGACCTGCCACTGACGTAGGACTCGGAGATGTGACTTTACTTCTCTCGGATTGATCGGATTCAGAATCTTCTTGTTTGAGCTTCTCATCTAATTCACGATTTTCTACCTACGATCAATAAACATAACCTCAACACGTTGAAAGGTTTACAGCTTAAGCAGATATCAAGACATTGGACTTTATGTGTTGTAAATACCTTAGCACGCTTACGGCGACTCATTTTTAACAAAGATATGTTTAAGAATAGAGTAATAAGTTAAAATCGGTCCGAAAAAACAAAACACCAAAACAAAACAAAATAAAACTACAGTTCAGAAACAATTTTGACATATGATGTACGTGATGTTAAAATTAGATAATCGTTTAAAAATCCGTTGCCGATTTTTTTTTAGAATATTTTAGGCTAGTCAAGATATTTTTGAAGTGAAGCTGAAAACTAATGTCTTCAGATTCACCTCTATCTATTTCAGAGGCTAGAGGCCTGGTAAACATGACGTCCTAGGGGATGTTTTGTACTTATTCATTATTTCTTAGCTTCATGGAAACTAGAACTAGAACAGGATTTACCATAAAACTAATTTTTATTGCCAGATGCCGTTACAGTTTTCTGTGTGCTTAGTGCAACATTTTGAACGTTCTCGATAGCGCAAAGTCTCAAGTATGCAATTGGAACAGCGCCCCTAGCGGGAAACTTAGGTAAGCGTTCCAACTCTACAAAATTGAGTTAACTTTTACGCTATCGAGAACATTAAAAAACTCGCACTAAGCACACTGCTCAGTGGAAAGAAAAACAAAGTTATACATTATTTTGGTCAAGAGCTTTATTTATCTTCAATTTTATTTACAACATAATATCACAATCCACTTTCAGAACATTTTTCAAAATAAATATTATTCTAAAAATAAAAGAGCGTTTAAAGAGACTTCCTGAAATGGTTATACAGCGGTCCTTCTTCGGAGTATCCAGCAACTTCCTGAGGAATAATGGAACTCTCTTCTATACTTCCGCAGGGACGACACATGCATTGAAGCGGAGCTTTCGTTGAAACCTAAATTTATACATTCAACATAAATATTGCTAGAAACTCACGGAAATTTGTATCAATTCGATTAAACTAAAAAAATTCACCTTTCTGAATCGCTTTTCTTCATTTTGAGCATCCGGACAAAACAAGACAACTGTAGCTTCTCTTTCTCCTGATTCTTGACAGCAGTTGCAGGTACGCTCCATTTGCCATATTTTACTACCCGATACCTAAGATACATGTGGAGTTATTCATATAATACTTATTCAAAATGATTAATATTATTAATACGTTGAATAAAAAATTTCGATCAAATAAGCAATCAATGAACTGGACTTGCCTGAACGTAGCTTGTGCATTTTCCAATGCAAGCAAACGACGGAATTGCTTTAGGTTTACATCCTCGGTGTTTTAAAACATGAATGACTGCGGTCATTTGACATTCCTGGCCTGAAACAAATTTTAATAGTTATTAATGAGTCCTTTGTAGAACAAAACTTACCTGTAAAAATTTTGTACCTGGAGGTAGTTGAACTTCATGCCCAGTAACAGGGAAATCATTTACGTAACATAAGATTAAAGCCACTATGACTAAAAAAGTATTCAATACGGACATATTGAATGTTATTGCAATCCGGTTTTTAGAAGACTATGTATTCTCAATGCTTGTTTAAGACTGAATGAGAAAACGAAGACTGCTACTGGCTTATATGGGAATTCAGTTGTGGATATTTGCTCTGCTTCTTCATAGGGAACATGAAAAATCATTTAGTGACCACGCGTTATGCGGGATAGCATAATCTCCCACTGCTGTTACAAGATTTTAATACCCAATATAATGTGAGGACGGTGTAATTTTATCGTAACTCAATTATGAAAAGGATTGGTAAAACATGTTTATTAAAAAGTGATAATATAATAGAAACGGAAGAAAATAAATGGAATAAAAGATTCGCCCATCCATTTGCAAAATAAAGTGTATTTTGAGAAAATGTTAGTACATATTTAATGATACATTAAATTTTTTTAAATGACTATCATTAGCGATAGTTTGACTTGACTGTATCTTTACCTTTGAATACCGTTATATATTAATTGAAAGAATTAGTTCGAGATAATATATGTTTGTCAGGTAGAGAAATGCTTCCATATTTGCAAGTAGATTGAAGTCGTCGTGGCCTAAAGGATAAGGCGTCCGGTGCATTCGTATGCAGCGATGCACCTGTGCTCGAATCCCGTGGCGGGCACCAAATGTTCACGATTGACTTCCACTGTGAAGGAATAACATCGTGTAATAAAAATCAAACCCGAAAAATATATTATAATTTGCGTAATCACTGATGGTAGGACCTCTTGTGAGTCCGCACGGGTAGGTACCACCACCCCGCCTATTTCTGCCGTGAAGCAGTAATGCGTTTCGGTTTGAAGGATGGGGTAGCCGTTGTAGCTATACCGAGACCTTAGAATTTATATCTCAAGGTGGGTGGCGCATTTACATTGTAGATGTCTACCACCAGATGGGCTGTGAGCTCATCCAACCATCTAAGCAATAAAAAAAATGTATTCTATTAGTGCCTGCTACTTCGAAACTATTCATGACTCGAGCTAAATGTAACGTATATTTCTTAAACTCTACTTCTTCTACTACATGAGTTAGGGACACTTTTATTAAAAAACAGTCTTCACCCGGGCATGTTAACGGGGGGACCTAAGGAGGTCGGCGTGCGCTGCACATTTTCGTCACTCTAGCACACTGGTACCAGAAGAATGGGACATCGCGGTAGGGGCTGCGGTTAGCAGTGCGACCCAAATTACCATCGTCGCCGTTGTCGCCAAGCGTACCGTGAAAGAGCATCCCGCTCGGTGGTGTATCGCATTCCTACCTGGCAGGCTGGTTCTGAACCAGCGTGGTATCCCGGAACACCAGCGGCACAACTCGGGCGGTCTTATGCGGCACCGTACCGTGAAGACCGGTGTCGTTGGTCATCGACTATCGCCTCGACGAACCCCCATCCCTCCGACCCTAAAACCAGCGCTCCCAAGGTGCGGAAATCTCAAGTAAGAGATTCAATCCCTGCCTGAAGAAAAAAGGGTACACGTTTATTTAGTTTAATTCTTATGTTATTCGTACAGCAGCCAACGCCATCTTTGATACAACCTGTCTTGGCCTTAATCACAATCTTTGACCCAAAAATTAAACTGGACCTACATGTATTATTCGTCGGATATTCTGTATGAAGATAACACATGCATAAGAAGCTCCAATATTCAAAAACTGTGTGTAAAGGTTTGCTCTCCGTAGCATCGATTCTATCTCTGATATGTGAGATGTGCATACCATGATGAATAAACGGCTATATTTGTCCAGCAGGTCTACCTAGGTTAGGGTCCGGGTCATCTCAAAAAATAGAAATATTCAAATATTTTATTGAATTCAGACATTGTAACTAACCATTAAAACGCAATGTACTACAATAAGCCTGCTGTGTGTGGCGAACCCTTACAAGTTTTTTCAATTAGCGGTGTAGACGAAAATAACAAAGACATAACAATACGTATTGCACGTTATGATATAAAAAGGCTTTGTATTGCTCCACAGCAGCATTCAATTTGTAGCCTCCTAAGTTCTCTGAGATTTTTATATTTTTCCTTTAAATATTCAATTGTTATAACAAGATGAATATTATGATTACTAAAATATTTTTCCTTGTTCAATTATTCTATATTGTTATATCCAAGAGTTCAGCTGAAGAAAATTGTGAAACAGTCGCAAGCGAAGTGCATGTTACTAAAGGTAAAAATGCTTGACATTTAAAATAATATTTTCTTTTGAAAACACAAGTCACTCAAACTACTAGACCACAAGGTACACTTTTTCTATGTGAAAATGTAACGTAACAAAGGAAAAGTAAAAAAAATAATTAGTAGGTATACTTAAATATAAATATAGGAAGTAAGTAAGTACAATATTCAAATGTCGACGAATGACACCTAAATTCGTCCATGACATCGAAAACCGTAAAGAATTCGAAATGTAAACAAACACTGTAAAATGACAGCGGTAAAATGAAATTAATAAACCGTAAAAGTATGTAGCTTAAACTCCGTATTATTCGGTAAGCTGCTTGAATCACTTAATAATGGAATTTGTAGAATACTTTTATTTATTTTGCAGAGGAATACGACGAAATGGGTAGATTACTTAGATCATGCAGTGGTGAAGTAAGCGTGAACAAGTGTGAAGGAATGTGCAACAGTCAAGTACACCCGTCAATTTCATCAGCCACCGGCTTTCAGAAGGTTTCGATATAATGTTTTTTTGTTTGTTTTATTGCTTAGATGAGTGGACGAGCTCACAGCCCACCTGGTGTTAAGTGGTAACCGGAGCCCATAGACATCTACAACGTATATGCGCCACGCACCTTGAGATATAAGTTCTAAAGTCTCAGTATAGTTACAACGGCTGACACACCCTTCAAACCGAAACGCATTACTGCTTCACGGCTGAAATAGGCAGGGAGGTGGTACCTACCCGCGCGGACTCACAAGAGGTCCTACCACCAGTAATTACGCAATTTATAATTTTGCGGGTTTGATTGTTATTACACGATGTTATTCCTTCACCGTGGAAGTCAATCGTGAACATTTGTTAAGTACGTATTTCATTAGAAAAATTGGTACCCGCCTGCGGGATTCGAACACCGGTGCATCGCTACATACGAATGCACCGGACGTATATTTAGGCCACGACGACTTCAATACGACGACTTGTCTACTATATACTCGGATTTATTTACGAAACAGTTTATTAAATTTCAAAGTACACCATTAACCAATAATAATATTAATAATAGTCATTTTATTGCAAGTAATGTTGTCTGCCCAAAATTTAGTTGACTATCGCCCAAATTTGAAAGTGTTATAGAAACGTTTTCTTGATTTCCTGTGAGCATTTATGGCACACTGTACCTTTCGCATTATATTATTCATTTGTAATTATTATATTACTGTAAAAAGAAAAACTCCTACACTTCACGCTTTGATATTCACGTCCTGTTTTTTGCCTAGGAATGTTTTTGCTGCCGAGAAAAGTTTTTAAGAGAACGACTAGTGACTTTGACTCACTGCTATGACCCGGATGGCATTCGTTTTGAAGATGAAGAAAACGCATTAATGGAAGTTCGCCTGCGAGAGCCCGATGAGTGTGAATGTTACAAATGTGGAGATTTTAGCCGTTGAAATTAACACTGCACAAGTTCAATAGCACCACATTCGACGTCAAAGATAGCCTTAAACTGAATATTGAATCCATTGTTACTTAAACACATTTTGGTCAAGAGCTAATAAAAGATGTAATAAAATATTTTTGTCAATGTTTTCTATTACTTTTCATCAACGAAATATTTACGTAGGTATTATCTCGAGGTGCATATTATAGAACCGCTGCGTTCATCGACACTGCGTTTCCAGATATCTTTTCTGCCACGTACCATCCGGCTTTAGATTGAGCTTCGCTCTACAGTGTTTTCTGAGCGCTATGACATGTTCTTCTTCAAACGAGGCTTGTGGAGGCAGCGGCTTGGCTCTGCCCCTAGCATTCTGACGGCCATGGGCGACGGTAACAACTCACCATCAGGTGGGCCGTATGTTCATCTGTCTCTAAAGGCAAAAAAAAGAGCAGAATAAGCACTTTGATAGTTTCTATCTTTCAGTTCGTCAGTGAATTTTTACTACTCCGGTATTCTTTTCACCATTCACCAAGGAATATTTAACTCACTTAGTTTCTCGTCGGATCTTCTCATTAAATCGCGATTCTAACCCAAAGGTAGATTCTGCGAAGCACTGCTCTTTCTAGGGCTCCTTCTACCCTTACGTCGTGTTCCTCAGTGCTGACGTTTGTGACCTTTACGGAGCACTTTTGTTTGGACTATATTCCTTCATTCTAGCTAGCTAGAAGCTAGGCTAGTATTAGCAAATTCTCTCAGGTTGAGCCCGTCAGCTCACCTACCCGTCCGCNCGCGATTCTGACCCAAAGGTAGATTCTGCGAAGCACTGCTCTTTCTAGGGCTCCTTCTACCCTTACGTCGTGTTCCTCAGTGCTGACGTTTGTGACCTTTACGGAGCACTTTTGTTTGGACTATATTCCTTCATTCTAGCTAGCTAGAAGCTAGGCTAGTATTAGCAAATTCTCTCAGGTTGAGCCCGTCAGCTCACCTACCCGTCCGCACGTATTTGGAATAGTGCCTTAGACTACCAGCGATAACGTTGAAAAAAAAATGTTTGCTCTTTGATTGTCTCCATAGATAATACAGTTATTATTGAGCTGTCAGGTACGTTTTAACGGGAACGCGAGGAGTGAAGCTGTGTGATTTGTTTTATTTTGTCTATTTAGTGTTTCTTTAGGCTTAAATGCGTAATGGTGGTTTATTAACTGTTTAGTATCTGTGAAATTACACAAATGTTGGAAAATTAAACAAAGCCGCTGTAATTTCTCGAGATCCTCCAAAAAGTCCACTGTAAAAGTGTCAGTAAATGAGATTATACTGAGATTATACTGAGATTATAATTCATCCCATATCATCTCATCTCATTTCATTTCATCTCATCTCATGCCTTGTTACATATTAATCAACTTCATTTTACTTCTTATTATAATTTTTCCTTAAAATTTATATATCTAATCTAACCATAATCGCTATAACCTATAAACTTTTCTTTCTTTTTCAAGTATTTAATTATTTTGAATTTGGAACAAGTATATTATTTTAAAAACTTCTTTCGATTTTGCGCCATTTCCATAATTTTCGTTTTATCAAATTACAATATGGAGTGGGGTGTTAAAGAAAATAAGATTGCAGTGATCGGCTTGCACAAATTAGGTATGGAGCCGTCAGTCGTATTCCAGACACTTCAAAAGCATGGTATCAGCCGTATGTTCGTATATCGTACTATCAACAGATATCACAACCCTCCGTTTGTCGAAGACCCTAAAAAATCGAGGCGGCCGCGTGCTGTTAGAACTACAAAGATTGCTAATGCTATTAAAGCCAGAATTCGTCGGAACCCCATTCGGAAGCAAAAAATCTTATCACGAGAAATGAAGATTCCTACTAGGACTCTGTCGCGTATAAAACAAGACCTGAAGCTCGGTGCTTATCGTCCATATACAGGACATGCTCAAAATCAATCTTTACAATTAAAGAGAGTGGATCGATCAAAACGCCTTCTGTCGCGATACGCAGCTGAAAGGCACAGAAATATCCTCTTTACCGAAGAAAAAAAAATCACGATTGAAGAACACTACAATAAGCAACTCACACACACAGCTCACAGTTTTAAACAAACTGCTCAAGTGGTCGGAAAGGTACAACGTGATCATCATCCTGCGTCAGTGATGGTTTGGTGCGGGCATGTCTTATCAAGGAGTCACAAAACTACATTTTTGTGAAAAAGGAGTGAAAACTTCAGCCAAATTGTATCAAGATACAGTCTTGGATCATGTTATGAAACATCTCAGCAACAGTTTTTACAAAACATACCGTAGACTTTCCAGCAGGACTCTGCACCTAGTTACAAGGCACGAACTACTCAAGTCTGGCTTGAAACCAGCGTTCCGGACATTATAAGAGCGGATGACTGGCCCTCATCTAGTCCAGATCTGAATCCGTTAGACTTCAAATTATGGTCAGTTTTATAGCACATGGCCTGCTCTAAGCGACACGGCGACATTGAGTCTCTAAAAAATCTTTTTTTTTTGGAGCAAGTATTGGTGAAATTCCTCTTGGAAACAGTGCGTAATTAAATAGATTCGTGGCCAAACAGATTAAAGGCCTTTATAAAAGCCAAAGGTAGCCATTTCGAATAGGTTTTTTTTTGCTGAGTCTTTAAGAGAAATGTACATTACTTCATTTAAAAAAAATCATTTTTTTGTAACAGAATTTATGGCTGGAAAAAGGATATAATATGTATAAAATATTAGGCAGTGTGGTATGACACCTCTGCCTTTTCAGTTGAAAAATAAAACTACTTAAAAGCTGTCAGTACTATCACTGTCAAGTGTCAAATCAGAGGGCGGCTTTATAGTTATTACCATCGTGGTTCGGCTTTGTTTTAGTATTGATTATACTAGGAAATTGTTCAAAAATATAAATATCCTAATCGAATTAAATAATAATGAATTTTGACGAAGATGCTATTCTATATTTGATTTTATTATTTACATGGGTGGAGTATCTATGGGAACAATATCTCTCCCTTCGACAGGTACGTGGATCTTTGATAAAGGTTACAAAAATTGAATTTATAGAAAAAAAACCCTTATTTTATAATTTGCTAATTTTTACCTGCCCCTTTAAATAGGTGAATATTTAGAATAAATGATAGCCAACAGTTGATTTACCTACAATACCTAACTATCTTGTGTTGGGTAATTTTCCGATTTTACACGTACACCATGCCATAATTAAATAGCCTGGCATCGTTAAAATTTTCAATTTATACCGACTGTTTCAGTTAAAGATTTACAAAACTAATAATACCATCCCAGAAGACTTGAAAGAAATGCTCAATGAGGACTTGTTTAAGAAGGCACGACTTTATGGAATTGATAAAGCGCAGTTCAAAATAGTCAAGGAACTGTACAGTACAATACTAACATCAGTAATATTGTACAATAAATGGATCTATGTTGCATGGAGGAAAAGTGAACAAATTGGAGCAATGTTCAACATCTCTCCAGATAGAGAGATAATTATAAGTTGCATTTTTATGACATTTATTACATTGTTCAACTTTATTGTTAACAAACCATTTACCATTTATGGTGTGTTTGTTCTTGAGGAACGACATGGATTTAATAAGCAAACTGTACGATTCTTTATTAAGGATCAAATAAAATCACTATTTTTAAGTTTAGTGATTACATTACCAATAATATCTGTAGCAATTTATATAATAATGCTTGGAGGAGACATGTTTGTGGTGTGGCTATGGCTATTTACTACTGTTGCAACACTCCTACTGTTAACATTATATCCAACAGTCATAGCCCCACTGTTTGACAAATTTGTACCTCTACCTGATGGATCGCTCAGGACAGCAATTGAAAATTTAGCATCAAGATTGAACTTCCCATTATCACAAGTTTTTATAGTTGAAGGTTCAAAACGATCAGCACATAGCAATGCTTACTTTAGTGGCTTATTTGGTGGAAAGAGAATTGTATTATTTGATACTTTAATTGAAAAATTTGATGAACAGAAGCAAGTGACCACCGGATGTACGGAGGATGAGATATTAGGGATTTTAGCTCACGAACTCGGACATTGGAGTTGTAGCCATATCTACAAATCAATTGCTCTCACTGAAGTGAACCTATTACTATTATTTAGTGCATTTGGAATCCTCTTCAAGTATTCAACGTTATACACAGCACTGGGCTTTCCATCAGGTCAAGAACCAATACTCATTGGCTTGATTGTAGTTTTACAAATGATTTTAGCACCATACAATTCCATACTTTCATTCTTTTCAACGGCTGTCTCTAGAATGTATGAATTTGAAGCTGATAATTTTGCTGTTTCCTTGTCTTATCCTAATGAATTACGATCAGCTCTCATTAAATTGGGAAAAGATAACTTAGATTATCCAATTTATGATAAGCTCTACTCTGCATGGTATCATTCTCATCCAACCTTATTACACAGAATCGAAAATATTAAGAGCCAAATAACTGCAAAAAGATCTGAATGATTCATTATTAGATTATAAAAAAACATAAGGTCCAAAATGAGAACCTCCATATTGAAGTCAAAAATAAGAGCTATTCTAGTACAAGTAGACATTGTTACTAAATCCCTACATTTTTTTAACTCTTTTCTAAACCAAATAATTCCAATGCATTTTGAACATTGCATTTAATCTATAAACTCTAATAACGTAGACATCAGTGTGTAGTACTATGTTCATAAATAACCATGCATTAAAAAAAAGAAATTACATTATAAGTTGTAGTGCACAATTAGTAGTAATTTTTTTGTAATAAATGTTAAAATGAAAGTGTAGTTTTTTTTGTCAAGTGAATTCAACCAACATATACATTTGCATCTGATGGCTCACTTTTTGATGTGAAACATCTATAGCCGCACGCAAAACCGATTTCTGGCGTGGCGACGCATGCCGTGGCGACGCGTCGCCACGCTATATGATGGTATACCTATATATACAGTCTATATCAGTGTGTACGGTGTGGCGACGCGTCGCCATGCGCAATGGACTGTGTGATTCTCTCCCACTCGATCCGGCATAAAGCCATCTCTCTCGCTACACTGAACTCGGATACCTATAGTGTATACAGTGTTGTTTACTACAGTACACATAACCTGTGTTTTACTTGAAAACAAATTATTTTTTCGTAATATTTTATTTTATCATTATGACATATTTAGTTCCTATGACAATCTGTTCTTTTCTGCATATTACTTTTACAAAATAATGTCGATGTTTCACATCTGCCAGGCGTCCCGTGACGGCTCACATTTTTTTTTATTAAAGAAGGATTATCCCATCCTTCATGGATTTGTTTGGCACTCAATTCTTTGAATATTTTATTAAAAACAGAAGTCTAGGTGAGGTCTTTTTTTGCCCTTATAGGCAAACAAGTATCAGCCCACTTTATGGTGGGTGGTTACCGTAATTTGTGGACGTCCGCATTGCCTGTGGCACAGCGCAACTGCGACGTACCGCTGAGTACTTTCCGCAATCCTTATTTGAAGAAAAACAGCGCTCAGGAAACACTGTGGAGGGGAGTTAATTCCAAAGCTGAATGGTACGTGGTACAAAAGATCTTTAGAAACACATTGTGGGTGAACGCAGTAGATAGTGTGGATATGAACACCATTCCAACGGCGAGCGAGATCACTTCAAACAATTCCTCAGAGGACTTCTCGTATACCATACAGTATAAAAAAGAGAGAACGAAAGACCCTCCGTAGACCCAGAGGTTTCTAAACGGTCCTTTAGAATGGGATTATTCAAAATCCGAACGGTCCTCTTCTGTACAGAGACAAATGGAAGTAGCTGGTGGTTCAGAGCTTCGGCCCAAAAGTGGGAGCAGTTCTCCTTGAGAGACGACCTGTGTTTTGTAGAGCAAAGGTATTTTTCAAGTGCCGCTTCCCCCTGTTGAGAACCCAGTATTTTTAAACCAACTTTGCTTTACCCTGCCAATGACCCCGATCTTGGAAATGGTTCGAAACGTCAACCCCCAAGAATCCCAATTCTTGCAGAAGATTGCTTTGTCCACTTCAGATACAAGTTTTAATCTTCTTACCTGCGCCGCGCTCATGATGGCCGAAAATCGCGCATCTCCTGTGCTATTATCCGCATAAAAAAGCATTCCATCAATATATTCTATGTCTTTGACAGAATGAAAGCGTGGAAAGAGTACCGAATCTTGTAGATCGTCAACGTTTTGGTCATGGTATTGGAGCAGAGACCAACGACGGCTGTGATGCTCTATCCTTCCAAAAAGCTAGCGATCTACTTGCAGAGATCTTTGGGAATTTCTGAAGCCAAGAAGCTGGATTCCAGTGATTAATTCCATCACCAAACCGAAGAAGTTATTAAGAGGTATGGTTGTGGTGTTCACCGCGATAACGTCCCTACCGTGCCCAGGTTCTGTCTCGAGCGGGGCAGGCCATCGAACGACAGTGTAGTCGTTATGTAGGTGGACCTTTGACTGTTGAGTTCCCATATACCGCACGCGCGAAACTCTCAAGGGGTTCTTCTTCAAAAAAGTCTAACGGCATCGCAAAACACCTGAGATTATATATAGTATTTTGTTCGTAGATGACTTTAAACTACTTGCTAAGCAGAATATGGTCTTGAAGCGTTTGTGTGGTGATCCGGAAATCTTTAAATACCTCAATAAACTTGAATATTTTACATGTTGACGTGGGTATAAAGCAACCATTGAGAGATCGACGTAAAAAATCCGAGCATTTAATAGGCGGATCACGCCTGTATCGTAAGGTGGACAAAAAGAGAACTGAACGGTTGTTTTATAATGGCATACATAATTTATCCATCCACACTCATCTGTAATGATGTTTTATATCTATTAGAAATGTATGGGTTCTGATCTGTTAGATAGCAAGGAACTACGGTGGCTCAGCGTCCAATGAAGACAGTCCAAATTATCCTCAGCTTGCATCTGATCAGTTCTATCTCATCTAAGGCTGGGATACGGGTTATTGAACGTCCGGGGATTTTATAAGGTTAACTTCGATATACGCTGTAACCAGTTCCCACCACAAATATAACTGTATATTAACACCATACTAATTACTCCATACCATACCAAACGCTCGTGTCTCGCAAATAAACCTGCTTAATTTTTAGGTACCTATTCCTTAAGGCACGATTTATTTTTTGCGAAAAATGCTACTTAATTCATTAATTCACTGTTAGTGTAAGATTATTTTTATTGAAGTACTCAAATACGAAAGTATGACTCAAAATTGTTCGGCTTGCCGCAACGTATTAGGCAGCGGAGTATCTTTTGTTTCGGGTAGTGGCAGAAGTACAATCATTTGTATAAAAGAAACAATTGTCAATAATATAACGGGCAAATTAGCGGCGAAGGATTCTAGGCTCACAACAGCTGGTGCAATCATCGAGGCGATACGAGCGAAGGTAGTCACTCCGCTTACTCCCACATTACGGCCTATTGTTGGAAAAAGTTCACCGGAAAATAGATATAGCGCCGGTATTGAACCCTGAAAATAAATTTTATAAAATTCAAACAGTAGATTGGATAGACCAATAAGTTATTATGAACAGAGATAAGTGAGAACAAACACGGTCTAAAACCAAAGTGACTTTAAAAATAACCTGACCTGTTACCGAACGCTAAATTTAAAATGTAATCATATAATTTAGGTCACTATACCTAGTAGAATTATTTTGTCGCTGCAGTTTGGGTCATAAAACATAGCCCGGCTAGGGCGGTGAGCATGTTACGCCGGCGCAACGCCATTATCGATAAAAACAAATGAGTCATCGAAGGCAGGTACATGGCGGCGGGGTGGTATACGAAGGGTGGTGAGACATTGTTATGTTATGAGTAATTTGTAGTTACCTGCAAGTTATAGTACATTATGTCGAAGAGAAATGTGTTTTTATGCATTTGTTCTCTGAATTTCTTTAGTGACACAATGGCTACTCCTTTGTTTTGTATCAAAACGGCAGAATTTATTCAAAATAATATTTGCACGTGTTGTTATCAACAATGTGTTAAAAAATTTCACTGAAATAAGAATAAATCCCGAAAAGTTACAAAGTGTTAATTTCTGCCGTTCTCGTTAACTTGCTGCGGCGATATGTGGTGTAAGTGTTCGATTAGTGATTTTTTCTTTCGTTTTTATCACTAACCCACAAAATGACAAAACTAAATACACTATCGATAACGCTTATCGACAACAATGATGCGCATCACTATGCCCGTCCATAAGGCTCGTGAGTGGAAGAGAGAGCGAAATATTCGCTTCACCGCTCCGACTTTTTATGACCCAAACTGCAGCGACAAAATAATTCTACTATAGCACTACGCATTACCTATAATATAAGTAGTGAGTACACAAACCATAGTGGAATAGGTATCTAAATTAATTAGCAGTTCTAAAATTTTGTGTAACAAGTCATCGATCGATGTTACAGGTGCTTTAAAGGTGTATGTAATAATGTGCGTCAAGCTGAGTCAACACGAGAAATTTTTACTAAATGCTAATACTAAAAGAAACAAAATTAAAAACATTCCTTTTTTGCAATAACATTAAATTGTTAATGGAAAGGGGACGCTATGGATGTTGTTTCCTTGTTTGTTTGCATTTAACCTCATTTTTAAGGCTAGATGTAGTCCAATAGTAGATAAACAGATATTGTAGCAGTAAATTACATAAGAGACAAACTTAGAGACTTACCGCCATCCCTGCAAAACCTATTCCAGCGAACAATAGTCTTGGCCAATTATTTACATATAGATCTTTAGGTACCACAAGTAACATAACAAAACATATGGCTGTTAGCAGCTGATAGATTCCAACAGTAGTTTTCCTTCCGGTTTTCGTTATGACGAATGCGGATGACATTGCACCTATAGCTGAAATTATGCCGCTCAAAGCAACTGCCAAAAATATGTTTCCCCCAATTAAGCCTATGTACTGTGCGAAGGTATAAAAACTTAAACCTGTGCAAAACCTGAAAAAAATAGTAGGTACGTTTCTTAGAAATATATGTAGAAAGGTAAATTTCTTTGCCGAATTCAGAAACCATATTTATTTCGACCCTAATCGTGACTAATCACTTATTAACAATTTCTAACCAGCTGACGGAAAGTAATAACGTCTTTGCTCTCATATTTTTTGATTTGAAAAAAGCTAAAAATCCAGGGCCTTTGCTTATTTGCGGTTTTAACTTTCCGACGAGTAATTTCAAATATATCGGATCATAGTTTCTGCCATTTTTTTTAGCTGCCTCTCTCAAAATCTCTGGAAACATTTAAATTGTTACATAAAATTGAATACTTTACATAAGTTTGATTTGACCAGGGGCCGTTAGCACACCTATCGCTTTTTCTGTTTGTCCAGTCGCTAGTAACCATCTTGGTGATTCTGGTATCCAAAACCAATAAAGTAAAAATAAAGAAGAAAAAGTAGCCAAAGCGAACTCGAGCTTTCTCCAATCCCTTAGCCAGTAGGCTAAACTTGCCATAACAGCACTTCCAAGACCGAAAGGCAACTGGTATAAAATTGGTATGGTTGTCCGATATTTACCACTTACCACCTGAAAAATGTACTAATATTTATATCTAATCACACACTTATATAGCAACTTTAAAACTAGAAAAACGTTTGCTTGAAGAATATTCGGCCCGTACTAAAAATGTTTTAGTTTTGTTTCCTAAAAGGCATACTCACCTACTTTCGACGGCGGCGGGACGCGTGAGAGACGCACAATCCCGCCGCCGTCGAGCGGGGACCAGGGAGGCGGATCTTGCCCAAGCCCTGGCCCTCTAAGTGTTTCGGGTCCCCCTCACATGTTGGTCTAGGGACCGGCGAGGGGAGCCTAAGACGACGTGCAAGCTGCTCTGCACGCGTTTTACGCAAGAGCATCCGAGTGATGGAAGGCCGGCTATCCTCGACCCACGCTGGTTCTGGCCCAGCGCGGTATTCCGTAGGGTAACCCACTCTAACCGGCGCCATCTAGGCGGGCTTCGGACAGTCTGCCGACCGAGCGGGCTGGTGGTCGTGGTGCCGACGACCGCCAGTCCGGCGTCCCGATGGGGGAGATGTGCTCCGCACTAAACGCTTCACTTTCCCCCCTTTGCCTTTTCATGAGTTCTGTCTCGTGCGAGGTTTGGACGTTGGTTGTTGAGCGACAGGAGGTTTTAATCAGTTCAAATCTGACATACCCCGCCCAGTATCCCCAGAGAAGGCGGAAGTCCGGCGATTTCCCACTGACCAAAAAAAATTTGTGCATGTGTGTGCATAGCTAACAATCTGCTATTAGGTGGTGAATTTACATTGTAAATAGCAGTGACGATGGCAGGGAGCGACTATTAAGAGTTTGTAGGACAAAATGCTAAAAATAATGATATATCATGCTATCAAGATTTATCTCATACCTCCATGCAAACGACAAAAGATATTATACCGATCCCACCCGAGGCCAATGCCAAGACGAACCACACCGTCAAAAATGACCAGTACCACGGAATTACACTGACAATGTAACTAGCTATTGTCTGAACAACTAGGCCGACTACGAGTGGTATTTTCCGACCGTATTTGTCTGCAACAATTCCGAATAATATACCTCCAACGACGACACCCCACATCATGACACATTGCGTTAGCTGAAAAAGATAGGTATTACTAATTTTACTTCCGTAAACATCAGAGCATTTTCGGTGCTTGCGAATTGCTGACATGTTGACCTGTACTGAAGATGGAAACAAGCGTTACACAAAAACAGTCAGACCTCATGACAACGTTAGTTCTTTTCAGATGGAAATGAACATATGCGTTTGTAAATACTTATTTTATATAGTAATCAGTCAGATCGTAGTTAGCTCAAACAAATATCGCGTTATTCATCAGTAGCTACGAAGGTAAAGTAAGTCAAGACACATCGGACATTCTAAAACTAAAAAAGTTTAGGTACTTAAGTTTAATTTGTAAAAGTAGCTTTAATCATAATCGTCTTAATGATAATTATAATAGACGACTGTATTCTTTCAGTTTAATTGTTATTAGCTACCAGAGCTACTTCTTCTCAGTCGTTTGCACTCTTTGCAGAGTGGTCGTAGTCATCATTTCGGGTGGTGTTGCGGTTCACCAGACGTCGCCATTCCTCACGTACCGCGGCCCTTCTCGTGCACCAGACCAAAGAAAACCTAATACATAGTGTGGAGACCACATGAGTTGTGTGGGGTCGGTCTAGAATAGTATCGCCCCATTTTTTCCCGTGGATGCCATAAAGCCGATTAAGAGATTGACCCGAGAATGGGCAGTAGCAAATTCTCTGTGTTATACCGACATACTGCGATCGGCATTGTCTGTTGATAGGACGTAATGTAAGCCTGTACGGGGAGGTAGCAACATACTGTCGATTTCTGTCAAAGTAGTTAAGCATAAATTGTTTTCGCTCATGTAAAATGATTTTTGTTTGTCGATAGAATTATTCGAAACTCACATGAATTAACCAATGCTTAGTGCACACTAAATTCCAATCGGAAATAATTGTCCGTCTAAAAAGGGACTGGTCGTAAATAAATTTTGTACACGCCACGAGAGGTATTAATGACCGATCCATATTCGGTGCGGTAACAAGTATGTCCGGATCATAGATCAAGCACGGATGCTCTTCCACGTCCTGAAATCAGTAGAATCCTATTCTTGAAAGAGAAAACAAAAAACACACTTTATATACTTATTCTGGCCATAAATACTGTTACAAAGGAAAACAAAAAAAAATCTATGGAAAATAACATTTATTACTTTTACAGTGTGTTAGTTTAATACATAAATATAAAACAATTTAAAGTATAAAAAGCTTATTCGAAGTGGTCTCCATTGGCTGCAATACAGTCCTTTACGCGTTGAGGCCAGTTATCAATAGAAGCACGCACTCTTTCCATGGGAAAAATTTTCACTGCCAATCGTACGGATTGTTTTAGGGACTCCAAATTATCATGGCGCTTAGAGCAAGCCGTACTCTCTAAAACTGACCATAAATCATAATCCAGCGGATTAAGATCGGGACTAGACGACGGCCAGTCTTCAGCTCTGATGAAGTCCGAAACGTTCGTTTCCAACCAAGACTGCGTAGACCGAGCTTTATGGCCTGGCGCCGAGTCTTGCTGAAAGGACCATTCTTGATTATTGAACATGGTGTTGTTAAGGGGCTTCACTACCTTCTCAAGAATGGTATCAAGAAGATGGTTATCAAGAATATCTTGATACACTTGTGGCGATGTTTTGATACTTTTTTCACAAAAGTATGGCTCATTCACTCCTTCATAGCTAATACCCCACCAAACCATCACTGAAGTCGGATAGTGCCCACGTTGCACTCTGTCGACTAATTGGGAAGCTTCCTTAGAGCTTTGAGCATAAATACGGTCATTTTGTTTGTTAAAATGTTGCTCAATTGTAAAAAAATTCTCATCCGTAAACAAAAAATTTCTATGACCTCCCTTTGCGTACCGCTTCAGTAATTGTTTCGATTTTACCACCCTATTCTCTTTTAAATTATCGGTTAAGAAATGACCAGTACGTCTCTTATAGGCTGCAAGTATTTTCATCAAAGATTCTAATTCTGTGGGTTTAGATAGAATCCCCCAAGAATTCAAAATTATCTATACATACAATTATCTTGTTAAAATAAGCACAGACCCCAGAATCAATCAGCAGTGGGCGTTTTACATTCTTACCTTTAGACCAATCTTTCCCAAAGTGAACGATAACACCCCCTTGTGGGTGTTGCAGGCCTAAAGGGCGGCAGTAAGGGACCCAGAAAAAAATGGGGGCGTTGTGTAGAGGCTTGGTAGGCAATTTATAATTTCATCTAGGAGGACTCTTAGACACCGAATGAGCTCTCGCTATAGTGGTTTTTAAGTAGGTGAAAAAATGGCGCTAAAAATAATTTATTCTCAAAGTAGGCGGTAGACAACAATGGGAACCCCCTGCTTTAGACTGTCCAGATTGTTTTATAATCGTAACACCCTATTAATACTTATGAGAATCATACGGGCGAGCAAAGACTTCTCCATTCTTCTTCAGAATAATTTGAGAAAGAATCTGGCTTGGCGCACCAAAAATCTTGAGGAGGCGCCATAAAAATAATATTTAACTGGTACCAGGCCAGTGGTAATTTTAACAAAGCCATTAATAAACTAATGTTCAATTGCCATTTCCCAAAATCGCCAACAACCTTTGCTGTTAAATCTTCAGAGTTTGGCTCTCTACATTTTAATGAGCCTGAAAACGAGATAAAGAGTTTTCAACAACCCAAAAGGGCCGTCATTATGTTTGTTATTGTTTCTGTAAAATGTATACTTGATTAGCAGGCGGGCACAAAAAAATAAATTAATTAAGTATATTTAATTCATAATTTAATAGATATAATTATTTTAATGTTATGTATAATTATAGTTATATAAATTAAACAATTATTTAAGTGCACAATAAAAACACATACCTCCAGATGTTCCGTATGTACGTACTTTGGTGACCATTTTTCATCCTTCTAGTACTTCCCCTAATTAAAGTTGTAACAACTTAAATAAAATATTAATGTTTTCACAATACGTCAAATCGCGCATAAAAATGTCTTAACTCAAGTGATAAACTAAATACTAATGTGTGCATTCTTTTTAAAAACTAAATAGGTATTAAAATGATGTCATACCTCAAATTGAATGACAGAATTCACATCTTCGATCAACAATAGTAACTTAGTAGTAAATAAGTTACTATTGTTGATCGAAGATTCACATAGTTAAATTATCTACGTTTCTGGTAGCCGCTAAACATTAGGAAAGCTGTGAACTCGTTCACCGATCTAGCCCAATCGATGTCCAAAGTCCAAAGTGCCTTTAGCCAAATTATATGTAGATTAAATAAATAAATGTATTGAAAAAATAATGTCGGAATGAATGCATATTGCCTATGTGCAGATAGGCCTCCTTCAGGGATACTTGGGCTGTTGTGAGAAACGCCTCCCCACCGGACTGGCCGGTCGATTTCGCCTCTTCCGCCAACAATCGTTCTATCCCAAAAAAAATTGGTGTCGGGCAGGGGCTCATTACTATATAGTTCACACCACATCACGTTCCGAGTACTCCATAAAGAAGTTTCCTCGGTATTCACGCTTGACCAGGCTATAGCTAATTGAACATCCCCAATTGCTCTCAATGATTAAATAAATAAACTCGTTCCTCGATCGCTTTAGGTAGTTCGCTAGTCTGCGGGTTTTATTTAAAATTATTTCATAGAACACAGACTATTGCAGATCCTTCACAGAGTACTTAGAGTATTTTAGAGCTTTCAAACACACTACCAACATAAACTACCGGTAAAATGGGGCGATTAGGGATTGAGAGGCGAATCGGGAAAAAACCGGGAAAATCTTTCGACGCTCAATATATGTTTTATATTCGTTGCAAAATCTTCCATTTTTTGTAGTTTAATAGTAGAATGTTGAAAGTTCACAAAACAACTCTGAATATGCATGATAATAGCTGCTAACTTATAAAAAATCGCGTTTCAAATTAACTTCCTGTGGTGGTAATTATTTTAGTGCTAGAAACTTTGCTCTCTATTTGCTATTTGATATTAATAGAAGACGACTATGATTTATAAACGTTATTTAGTGTTTGAACCAGCATATATATTAAAGGTAAGTCTCAGTTGTTATTGGTTTTAATGTATTTGATTAAATAAAAATACATGTAAAAATCTGTTGTTTTTGAGGATATTGGGGACGTCTTAGGTATAAATAACAACGAAAAAGGGGTCAATTGGGATGAGAATACGTGAAATGGAAACGACCTAAGTATAAATAGGTACAGGTTTGTAGGGTTGTCTATGTAGTTATAACAATATTTTTTAAATTTGTTGGTAAAAATCTGGTTTATTCGAAGCGAAATTGGGAATAAGTCTTTAGTTGAAATAGATAAGCAATTTAATATAAGTAAGTCGATTTTGCAGAGACATGTAACAAGATCAATGAAATCTCAAGGTGGACAAAAATGTCTAAGTAATACATAATAAAATATTTAATATTTGTTCAGAGTGGGGGTATTCATCTGATTAATCCATGGAATAACCGACACACCTAATCTCTTAACCCAGATAGAAATATCAGCACTGTCGATTGCACCTATAATTGAGGTGATGTCTGCCATGTACTTTTGTCAGTTTTTCAATTTTTTTTATTGATGATCACTTTGTTGGTGCAACTAAATAAATAAATAAATTAAAACTATATATAAAAATAAAAGTAGTGCCAACCCTAGCAAATTTCTCATTTCGTCCCAATTAACCGCAATTTTCGGGTAAATAGGGATTACACCTATTTTTGCATTTTTTGCTTAAACTGGAATGTTAGTTGCATAATTTTAAATTAGACAACAAAGATGCCCCCAAGACTCAATCATTTTGATCCTGATATAGCATTATATACATCAACAACTACCTTAAAATTGGTCATAAAGTTGGAATTTGTCCCTAATCGCCCCATTTTACGGTACTACATGACATACCTGTCATTTCATTTGTCAATGCCATTTCCCGTACGGAATAAGAATTCACATCAAAGTGAAACACATTCGTTGCTTTTACCATTAAATAGAGAGAAATGAGAAATAATAAGTTTAAAATGATTATTTGATTTGTGTGAATAAAATTGTGTAATCGTGATTACATTTCGCAGTTCATGTTTAGTAAACGTTAGACATAATGCCACTAGCTAACACCTCGGATCCTTGGCGAATGCAGAATGTGGGAGATAACACGGTATGTTTAGAATTAATGTTTGCGCAGCTAATTAAGTTTTACGATTTTTCCTCAACTCTGATTACACGGTGTGATTTGTTCTCATTGCTGTTTTAGCAATCCGCTCAGTTATCATTGTCAGTTCGCTTAATGTGCTTCATTTACGTGTTTTATAAGCTTACGAACGCTCATCACGTATATAATTATCATACTTATTAAAATTTTAGTAAATAAAGATTTTTATTTTTCAGTTTAAAAGTGAATAGCTTTGTGAAAATAAATGATGTTTTCAAAAAAGTAAAATATAAAAAACAGTTTGTCTACATTTTGTACAAAAACAACTTAATTATTCACAGCATTTAACTCGCTAAAGATAAAGTATCCAATATTAAATTACATTAGAGCATGGCCTTGAAACAAAACATTGAAAATTATGTGAATTATTAATCATAGTTCTATTTTGATGTAGTATAACAAATTATTGTAAATTAAATACTTTTACGTAGTGTGTAAATTGATAATAAAACCATGGATATTTTAAACAACATGCTCCAGGTGGGGTTCTTTTTAATACTTCCTTACTATTGAAGTGAAAATTTGACAAAATATGCATAATGAAATATATCATAAAATTAAATTGCAAATTTCTTGTAGACACTTTTTTGTCATACTCATATCCTACTATGAAATGAAATACACTTTACTATATTGTATGTAATTGATAAGATTTTCATTTTACATCTAAGCAACATTATCATATTTGAGTCGACTATTATCAAAGCCGGCAATCTGACTTTTGGACAATGATTGGTAAATCAGAAAAATGAATTATTGACTTTGTATTCCATTGGCAGTCACAAAACTCTTCGGAACGACATCTTAGATAAATAACAGGTTAACTATTAACCTTTATTTAATGCAGGTTTTGAACCGTATTCTTTGAAGGAGACGATTATATTCANTTGTATTCCATTGGCAGTCACAAAACTCTTCGGAACGACATCTTAGATAAATAACAGGTTAACTATTAACCTTTATTTAATGCAGGTTTTGAACCGTATTCTTTGAAGGAGACGATTATATTCAAATCAATCTGTATTGACATATCAATAAATTTTTTTTGTCCAAATGCACAGATTGCCACCTTTGATAATAGACGACTCATTTATGCTTTACTTAAAAAAGGATTAAGATACTCAGATAATGTATATGTTTTTATTAATCTGTCTCTATTTTCTCTTATTGCATATATCTTTCATAAATATAACATTTGCTACAAATTACAATGTTTTCAATTGATTCATTGTGCCACAGTAATTCAATGTGAAAATTGTAATCATTCTTATAGAAAATTCATTATTTTAGCTACAATACTTCTAGATGTGCGTACTGTGATATTTTTATAAATATAGAATAATATTGATTTTATTGTTGCAAGAAAATAAAGCAAAATTATGATTAAAACAGCTAGGTGCATCAGCTCAACCGGCAAACAACCTTCCGATAGTAGTTGAGAATTCATCAGAGTCTAGACAGGCTTCAACAACTGAAAGCTTAGATTCAAATGCAGAAATAAACTATGAAAGGGAAGTGGAAATACAGGATGTTGTTAAAGAAGGTCATGACAAGGCTGATCCATCACAATTTGAATTGCTCAAAGTTCTGGGTGAAGGTTCCTTTGGTAAAGTATTCCTAGTGAGGAAAGTTGTTGGACTTGATGCTGGTACCCTGTATGCTATGAAGGTTAGTTTTAATTATAAAAAAAATTTTCAGAAATATTTTTTTTTTTGCTGCACGTACAGTGTGTAAACTGAATATTATCAAAACTAAAGAGCTATTAATAAACAATAACTCAATCAGGAATATGCCTTAAAGTTTGAATAAATTAATTTTTCATGAATACTTAAGGTGAAGCAGATGGAGCTGGCAGATTCTCCCCCCTGCATAAAATTTCAAATTCTATGCCACATCAGATTTTTAATGTTCATTATGTGAAAAACTATATTAATAGTCTTCATTTATAAGAGTAATTCTCTTACACCCAGTATAATTACCATGCTAGTTTTAATAATAATAAACATACAATAATAGTAGACTGTAAGGATTTTGAAAAAAAATCAATTGTTTCTTTTCAGGTACTTAAAAAAGCTACTTTAAAAGTGAGAGATCGAGAACGTACAAAAATGGAAAGAAATATACTAGTTGAAATGGGTCATCCATTTATTGTAAAATTACATTATGCATTCCAAACAGCTGGTAAACTATATTTAATATTGGATTTTTTACGTGGTGGTGATTTATTTTCTCGTCTCAGTAAAGAGGTAAATCTAGTATTAAAATTAATATCATGAGTTAGTTTAGTGTATTAAATTACATAATATTTAATTAGAATGCATTGAAATTTCTATAGTTATTCTATAAAAAATCTGGAATACTAATCACATGTCATTTTAGGTAATGTTCACAGAAGAAGATGTGAAGTTCTATTTAGCAGAGCTAGCATTAGCCTTAGAACATGTTCACAAATTGGGGATCATATACAGAGATCTCAAGCCAGAAAATATTCTCTTAGATGCCGATGGCCACATCGCACTTACCGATTTTGGCTTATCGAAATTGCCTCCAAGTAGTGACAAAGCTTATAGTTTTTGTGGTACTGTCGAATACATGGCTCCTGAAGTCGTGAACAGAAGGGGTCACACCTTTGCTGCTGATTGGTGGTCTTTTGGTGTACTTATGG